TGCATGCATATGAGTTCACCCATGTTGTACAATGCCACAGAGATCAGAAGAGGATGTCAAATTCCCCTGGAATTGGAACTAAAGATGGTTATTAGCTGCCATTGGGGTGCTGGGAATCAAATCCAGGTCCTCTGTAAGAGTAGTCAGTGCTCTTAACTGCTGAGCCATCTCTCCAGCCCTAGTCATAGTATTTTTTTTTTTTTTGGTCTTTTTTTGAGACAGGGTCTCCCTATAGCCCCAGGTATCCTGGAACCCACTATGTAGACCAGGCTGGCCTTGAACTCACAGAGATCTGCCTGCTTCTACCTCCAGAGTGCTGGGATTAAAGGCGTGTGCTACCATGCCTGGCTTGGTCATAGCTTTTTTTTTTTTTTTTTTTTTTTTTTTGGTCTTTTTTGAGACGAGAGCTCCCTCCTATAGCCCCAGCTGTCCTGGAACTCGCTATGTAGACCAGGCTGGTCTTGAACTCACAGAGATCTGCCTGCCTCTGCTTCCCGAGTGCTGGGATTAAAGGCGTGTGCCACCACGCCTGGTGGTCATAGTATTTTTAATCACAACAAAGAAAAGTATCTGATACAGCCTACACATACATATGTGCACCAAGTGCATGCCTGGTTGCTGCAGCAGCCAGAAAAGGGTATCAGATACCCTAAAACTGGATTTACTGATGGTTGTGAGCCACCACCTCAGTGCTAGCAACCAAACTCAAGTCCTCTGCAAGACTAGCAAGTACTCTTAAGCTTAGTGGTTTCACTGAGCCATCTCTCTAGCCCCAGGAGCCATTTTTGAGATTAACTATTTAGATTACCTGCTGGTAAAGATGTACCCTCATCTTAGTTTACAAACTCTGAGAATACTGCCATTAATTAGCCCTTAATTTGGGCTTGCACTCTACGAACCGTGAAGTGACCAGGACAGAAACTTACATAATCGTTAGAGCTAAAAATGCATTCCAATAGCCTCAATTCACTGTGTTACATCAAGCAAAGCTAAAAGTTCATTTTTCTGGGTCACATCCATATAATTTCTTCCTTCTGTGTTTGCTACAATATTTCTAGAGAAAGGAAGAGGTTACCCATTTCCATAATGAAGCAATAGCCTCAAGAAACTCAGATACACTTGTTATCCTTGCCTGCCAGACTTTACTTGCCAAGTCTCAAAGATTCAACACCTCAGTAGCTCCCATTGTTCTATGTTAGAAGTTGGTGACATGGAATACTTGCACCCTGTTAAAACCTGTGTGTAGTTCTTAACCTTGATAGAGCACACTCAAAAGATCCATGAGAAGAGAAAAATACGTTTGCAAGGCAGAATCTCTAAGAGCTACTGCAAGTCATTTGAGTAGAAACAGCTTAGACTCTCCCAGTCAGGCTCCCTTCAGCTCTGGCAATTCTTCATTTCCTGTGATCTTTGAGGTCTCCCATCTGTCTACTAATATTTTCTTCTCACCCCAAAAGCCCCTGAACCTGGTCTTCCCCTGCTTCTAGAACTCCTAAAAACCTCACAACAGATACCTGCTCACTTGGCAAAGAAAAGCTTTCTAAAGTACCAAAAAAAAAAAAAAAAAAAAATGCAGAAGGGAACTTCAGACCACCTTATGGGACATTAATCTCTCCTCACAGAAAGTAGCAAAAAGAAGTCTACTTTAAGTCCGGGAATGGTGGCACACACCTTTAATCCCAGTACTCGGGAGGTAGAGGCAGGGGATGTCTGAGAGTTCCAGACCAGTCTGCTCTACATAGTGAGTTTCAGGCCAGATGGGCCACAGGGAGACTATCAAAAAAGCCTAACTATTTTGATTCTAAGGAGCATTTTTCATATCTGGAAATCTGAAGTTGTTCATAGACCATAATTTAAGAATTCAAGTGGACATAGGAGGAAACTTGGAAGGATTTCAGTGGAAGAAGAGGTGATGAAGGGTGAAAACTACTAAAATTCATCATATGTATGAAACTGTCAAATAATTTTGTAAAAAAGGAGGAGGAGTAGGAGGATTTGGGAGACAACTGAAGAGTAACAGACTGAATTTTACATGATATTAGAAAACCATTGTTAATTTTTAGACATAATTATGATTGTAGATATCTAGGAAAATGTTATTTATTTGTAAGGATGCATGCCAAAGTACTTAAGTATGAAGTATAGCGATGTCAGCAATTCCCTTTACAGTGATTCAGCCAAGACAACAGTGAGCTATAAAAAGAAATTTAAAAGGCAAACCAAATATGACAAAATGTTAGCGGGTATATGGGTGATCATTGTATAATCCTGTTAACTTATGTATATTAAACTTTTCTCATTTAAAAGTTTTGGAGGAGGTTGGAGATAAAATTCAGTTGGCAGAGTACCTGCCTGGCATGCACAAGGCCCACCATAAATTGAGTATGGTGGTGCACACCTGTAATCCCAGCACTTGCAAAGTGGAAGCAGGAAGATCAGAAGTTCAAAGTCATCCTTGAATACACAAGGAGTTCAAAGCTAGCCAGGTCTAAACGAAACTCTGCTTCAAAAAAGTAATTAGTTAAAAAATAAAAATAGGGGGCTGGAGAGATGGCTCAGTGGTTAAGGGCACTGACTGCAGAGGACCCAGGTTTGATTCCCAGCACCAACATGATGGCTAACAACCATCCGTAACTCCACCTCCAGGAGATCTGACAACTTCTTCTGACCTCCTTGGGCATTGCATGACATGGGTACACTTAAATACATGGAGGTAATATACTCATATATATAAAAAACAAAAATGGGCCGGGTGTGGTGGCACACACTTTTAATCCCAGCACTCAGGAGGCTGAGGCAGGCGGAGCTCTGCGAGTCTGAGGCCAATCTGGTCTACATAGTGAGTTTCAGGCCAGCTGGGACTACAGAGAGACCCTGTCTCAAAAAACCAATAACAACAACAACAATAAAAAATTGGGGAGCTGGAGAGATGGCTGAGTGGTTAAGAACATTGGCTGCTCTTACAGAAGACCCACACTCAGTTTTCAGCACCCACATGGCAGCTAACAACAGTCTGTAACTCCAGTTCCAGGGAATCTGATGCCCTCTTCTGTCCTCTGTGGGCAGTGTACACACATGATGCACTTACATACATGTAGTCAAAATGCTCATACACATAAAATAAAAATAAAAATTTTTTAATATTTTATTTATTATTTTATGTGTATGAATGTAGTGCCTGCATGTAGGTAAATGCACCCATGACATGCAATGCCCTCGGAGGACAGAAGAGGCAGTTGGATCCCCTCAGCTTGGTACAGCTAGACAGCACAGTGCTTGGACAGCATGTATAAGACCCTAGGTTTGAACCCTAGCACCACAAGGGGAAAAAAGCTAGCTCTGTCACAACAATATGAGGCTTATTTCCAAGGAATATTAAAATTGGGAAAAATGCTACTTATAGGAAATATTTAAAGCAGGCTGTGGTAGCCTATAGCTGTAACTCTAGAACTTGGAAGGTAGAGAGAGGATGGTAAAGAATCCAAGGTCATCTTTGGATGACCTACTAAGTTCAAGGCCAGCCTGGGCTACATGAAGCCCTGTCTATGGGGGGGAAAAGGAAAAAAGGGAAGGAAAAAAAATGAAATATCTGGAGTACTCAAATTCAGAAAGTCAGAAAACAGGATGCTAAGTCCTAAGAGACTGGGCAGGAGGGGAAAATGGGGTGTTACTGTTTAGTAAATATTTATAGTTTCAGTTTTGTCATATGAGAAAAGGGTTCTGGAGATCTGGAGAGAGATAGTAGGAACAGCTGCACAGTATGAATGCTTTTTTTTTTTTTTTTTTCTTTTTTGTTGGTCTTTTTGAGACAGGGTCTCAGTGTAGCCCCAGCTGGCCTGGATTCACGCTGGAGACCAGGCTGGCCTCAAACTCACAGAGGCCTGCCTCTGCCTCCCTAATGCTGGGATTAAAGGTGTGCACCACCACACCTGGCGGTAAGAATGCTTTTAATACCACTGAACTGTAAACTTAAAGATGGTTATAATGGTAAATTTAATATATATAAAATAATGCAAACACTCAAGATAAACCCAGAATAAAGAAAAAATTTAAAAACCCAGGGAGAAAAAACTGGAATATAACTGAACAGAATTGGTTAGGTTTCCTCCAGTCTCATTTTACTCCTAAACCAGCTTGTTCACTATTCTACCACCAACTAAAAGTCTATAGCAGCTGGGTGTGGTAGTACATGCCTATATTCCAAGCACTGGGGAGGAGGAGGCAGGCAGAGAATCACCACAAACTGAAGGCCAGCCTGGTCTAGGTAAAAAGTTCCAGGTCAGCCAGAACTATATGGTAACAACAACAATCAACAACAAAAGATGCAGCAAAATCATATACAGAAGCACTGGAAATCAAACAAGAAAAACACAAAACTTTTCTAACACCCTGCTGAGCATAAGAGTGGTATGCTGTAGCCAGTCCTAGGCACTGTTGCAGGAGATAACCCATGCCTCAGATTTCAAAGGCAGCCTGGGCAATACAGTGAGACCCCTACCTCATAAGGAAAACAATTCAGCACCCAATCCTCTCTCTCTTCCACTCTGCATTTCTGGGATTAGCACTGACATTGCTATTTTAAGCGTTAAGAAACACAATCCCTCTGCATCTCACCTCTTCGTATGGGTTCTACACAACAGTCTTCTAATTTTCACCACAAGTTGATACTTTCAGTTCTGGTCCTCGGAAGGAATTCCCTGAAGCCTGCCAACTCCCCCGCCCCAACTTCCCAGACAGAAGAGTATGCATCCACTTACCAAGATTTGCTATAAAGACTTACTAGTTTTTATAGGAACCAATTTTTTTTTCCTTTTATATTTTTAAGCAATCTTCTCTCAACTTCAGGTTTTCCCAATTGTCACCTAGCAGTGCGAAACCACTGTTTTCCAGAAACCAGGTCTACTCAGCATCAGAGGTCCCAATGGTTCACCTGTCAAAGCCTCAAAATACTGCCGCTACTCTTTAATTCTAGCCACACCTCCCAAAGTAGTATGTCTTACCTTTGGTGTCCTGCATGACAATTGAGCTATACTTTAAGAAGGTTATCAGTAGATTACTGGTCTGTACATCTGCATCCAGTGAGAGTTCCACAGAACTTATAACTGGAATAGAACAGATAAAACATACTCAGCCCATAACATATTCCAACTAACACTTCTACCCACAAAGCCAATTTGCCAGCAGGCAAGAAAATGACTAAATAGGCTTTTCCCACAACAGATGAAGAAACAAGTACTTACCATAAAACTTTTATCTATAAAAAAAATTCTCACCAGGCATGGTGGCATAGGCTTTTAGTGCCTGCAGTTGGGATGCAGGGGCAGGCCAATCTCTGTGAGTTCAAGGCCAGTCAGGGATACATAGCAAGACCCTGTCTCAAAAAACAAATAAAAAAAAAAATCAAAACTTTTACAATAAATAAAAATAAAAAATGAAAACGTTTATCTACTTTTGCTAGGCCTCCAGAGCCCTTCCTACTCATACTCCCCCAAATTAAGTCCATCAACCTTTCTAATCTAGGATCAGTTTCCAGAAACAGCTTTTCTCTTAACATCCTAGGAAAGGTATGTTGATTCCATTTCCAGCCCCAAATAATCAAGAGTCCAAAGCCCTTCTTAAACGCTCTATGATTTCTACCTAAAAGAAAAATTTGTATTAAATATAAATGAGCCTGCCTTGATGAGTCTCGCTTGCTTAAAATAAATGAAGATTTCTTCCTAATAAGGAAAAACTTTGCTCAAGAACAAGCTAAGCCCTTAGACTAAAAGTATCCAAGATGAGCCAGGCGTGATGGCACATGCCTTTAGTCCCAGCACTAAAGGAGGCAGAGGCAGGCAGATTCTTTAAGTTTAAGTCCAGCCTGGTCTACATAGTGAGTTTCAGGTCAGCTAGAGCTACAGGGAGACCCTGTCTCAAAAAAAAAAAAAAAAAAAAGTAACCAAGATGAAAGGGGCTAAGTTAAGACAGAACCACGTTTAAATTCTATCCCCCAATACTGAAAACTGGTGGACATTACTGACTGGCTTGGACAAGGAGTTTTGCATATCTAGCTTATTTCGAAGAGAAATCCTCCACCCCATGCTGAGCCCAACACACTCCCTGGTCTCACCCCCATCTCCCCTCTACTCACCCTGCCTCTACTCTTGAGTCACAGTCCCAGTGAACCAAGGGAGAGTACCCAGATTTGACCCACTCACAACAGTTTTAACTTAAGACTTCCCATGATTCAAAGACTTTAAATTAGAATTAGTCATTTTGTTAAGTGCTTTACCAGTGTCTAAGACATAATAAATATACAAAAGGGGCCTCCACGACAGCCCAGAGAAGCTAGAAAATCTATAGCTTTCTGCTGTATTTTCAACTATGAACACTCAGCTAAATTGGGGGTATTACACATAATCCATATTCATAGCTATAATGGATCCCTCTGGAGTTATTAAAATGAATGCAGAGGACATTTATGAACAATGGGAAACATTTGCATATTACGGATGCACAATGCACCACAAAACGCCTTGTAAGAAGAAATTAGTATGCCCAACCCTTGGCTATTTTCCCCCAGTTTGGCCCCCAAGAACAAATAAAAGACAAATTCATTTTTATGTTGAAATACTAAAAGATTTCCAGGCCAGACTGAGCTATAGAGTAAGATTTTGTCTTTTTAAAAAAAAAGTAAAACCACCAAAAGGTCTGAATTCATATCATGGTTAATGACTTAAGACTGTCATCTCAAACCACAGTCATTGTGAAGCTTAGATCACAAAATCATTTCTTTGCCATCAAACTGCTAAGTGGAACTTTTTGCCCCACTCATACAGAGCAATAACTAGAAAACTATCTTACATAATAGGAGAAATATAGAAGTATATGTATTTTTAGTTTACCAGAAAGTCCTCTCATGCCAAGGCGGAGTTGTCAAATGTCAAGTCTGAGCTGCGAACAAATGTTACAGCTAACTGCTGGCTTTTAAAAATAATAGCTCCAGTGACATACCTTTAAATATAACTGGGCTACTGAGCAGAACTATAATTAAAATAAAAAATTAAAGTTAAAATACTTAGGACCCCTATAGAAAGGAAATGAGTTAGGAGAATAGGAAAAGAATAAATAAAGTAGAGACAGAATCAGATCCCTCACAAATTAAAATCTCCTTTCTCAGCAAGCATCATTTCTTGATCTTTGGCTTTATAATTCCTTCCAGTAGCTTTTGTCAAGAGAGATAGTCATTTGAAAGTGGGCTGACTTGATCTTCCCACTAGAAAAAAAATAAAAGCTCACTGGTTGTAGGTAAGCACAAATCCTGCCATTGCATAATCAAGTGTGTGGGTGAAAGTGTTCACAATGAACAGTTTGAAAGGCAGTTCTCTAAAGCTTTCAAACTCCAACATCACATGGAACTGAGATATATATATATATATATATATATACATATATATATATGTGCATACACATACACACATACACACACAGATATATGGCTTTTGATATCCATGGTAACTAGGCAGGTTTCATCCTTAAAGAGAAAGTACAGTGTTTCCATTGGCTTATCTAGTGACCTGAATAAACAGACAAGTAGGCAATCCTCACTATGCTTCTTCTCATTAAGATATTTTGGAATTTGGCTTTCAGCTCTAAGCAGACCCAATTTGCTATCATAGATTTAAATATCAATGACACCTCCTTGCTATACTCTGTATTGCTTATACTGCCTTAAAATGCCAGCGCTATAGTGCTATGTAAAAATCTAGGGGCTAGCCAGGCATGGTGGCACACATCTTTAATCCCAGCACTCAGGAGGTAGAGGCAGGTGATCTCTGAGAGTTACAGGCCAGTCTGCTCTACATAGTGAGTTCCAGGCCAACTGGGGCTACAGAGAGACCTGTCTCAAAATAACCAAAAAAAAATAATAATAATAATCTAGGGGCTATAATGCAGTTCAGTGGAAGAACATTTGCTTATTGTATGCAAGGCTCTAGTTCAGATTGGGAGAAAAAAAAAAAAAAACTTGAGAGAAACAAAACAAAGAGAGTCATTTCACATATAAACAGGAGACCCAAAGGATCAAAGTTGTTTTTTTTTTAATTTTTTTTTGGGGGGTGGTCTTTTTGAGAGAGGGTCTCCCTGTAGCCCTAGCTGTCCTGAAACTCACTATGTAGACAGATTCACCTGCATCTGCCTCCAGAGTGCTGGGATTTTTTTCTTGAGACAAAGGCTTACTATGCAGCCCTGGTTGGCTTGGAACTTGCTCTGCAGACCAAGTTGTGCCACCACACCCAATCAAAATTTTTTTTTGTTTTTAAAGATCAGGTCTCCCTGCCAGGCATGGTGGCACACACCTTTAATCCCAGCACTTGGGAGGCGGAGGCAGGCGGATCTTTGTGAGTTCGAGGCCAGCCTGGTCTACATAGCGAGTTCCAGGACAGCTGGGGCTACAAAGATACCCTGTCTCAGAAAGAGGAAAAAAAAAAAAAGAAGATAGGGTCTCCCTGTAGCCCCAGCTGGCCTGGAACTTGCTACGTAGACCAGGTCTCATGGAGTACCCAGTGCTGTGATTAAAAGTATGTGCCACCCTACCCAGCCATTTTATTTATGATTATTATTATTGTGTATATATGTTTATATGTATGTGTGATCTGTGGGTACACATGTGCCATGATATGTATGTGGAAATCAGAGAACAAATCTGTGAAGTTCATTCTCTCTTTCCACTTTATATGGTAGGTTGAACTCAGGTCACTAGGTCATCAGGCTTGTGTAGTTAAGTGCATTTACTCACTAAGCCATTTCCCAGCCCCAAAGTCAGATATTTCTTATGCCTCTTTACACAAAATGAAGTCAATATTTGAAGTATTAACACCCAAGTGCTGGGACACATGCCACAATCTCCAGCTTAGACAAATTTCTTCCTTCCTTCCTTTTCTTCATTAATTTTTTCTCTTCCTCTCCTTCGCCTTTCTTTCTTGTGGGTATTAAACCTAGGGCTTATGCATGCTAGGGATGTACTCTACCATTGAAGTATATCCTCAACCCTTTTAAAATTTTATTTTGACACAAGGCCTTGATAAATTGACCAAGATAGCCATGAACTTGCTAGGTAGCCCAAGCAGGTCTTGATTTGCAATCCTCCTACCTCAGCCTCCAAGAACCTAGAATTACAGATGTATAGCAACTTTAAACACAATTCAGAGTTTAGACAAATTTCTTAATTAAGAGAATTAACAAATGTGTTCTTTGCTCAATATAGCTATGCATACCCTGAAAGATCTAAGATCATATTAATCAAGAATACAAAAGAGGTGGTTGGCTCACCATCAGAGGAGGGTGGTGTGGTCCCAAGTGGTGTGACTGGAGTTGTTGGAGTAGGACTGACAGGGGTCGTCACCAACCCCATTTCTGGATGACTCTGAAAGAGGGCACCGATAGATGAGAAAACAGAAAATCCAGTATTTTTTTAAAAGTATCCTCCACTGCATGTCCTTAATGGTTTTCCAGGCCTCAATTAGACTGACAGCTGAGAATTTGTCATTTAGTGCCCCTAAATGCTTGATTATTGATGCTTGCTAAGCTTCCAACAAGAAGCACTGTGGGATAATTTTCATTAAGTAATGTTGGTTCCCATTACATAAGTTTTTCTGTTGAACCATACAAATTAGACAAATTACTCAGATAATTCTACATGAAGTAGGGCATTTTTCAGTCCTATTTGGTCTTGTGAAGGGGCTACTGGGTTTTTTTCTTTGTTTTTTTTTCCTTCTGGTCTTTTTGAGACAGGGTCTCCCTGTAGCCCCAGCTGGCCTGGAACTCGCTATGTAGACTAGGCTGGGCTTGAACTCAGAAATTCGCCTGCCTCTGCTTCCTGAGTGCTGGGATTACCACAGCATGCAGGAAGAGACTACACATCTATGGAATAGCCTAATGACCATATAATTGACCAGTAGAAGGTAAGCCAAGGGGATGCTACACTGGCCAGACATGGTGGCACAAGCCTTTAATTCCAGTAAAGGCAGAGCCAGAGGCAAGGAGAGTTTGAGGCCAGCCTGACCTACATAGCAAGTTCCAGGCCAGCCAGGGCTATATAGTGAGACCCTGTCTCAAAAAGACCAAGAAAAAAAAAAAAAAGAAAAGAAAAGAACTACACTAATGGCCTTCCTGTTTCATAATAAGCAAGAGTTATGTGGGCCAGTGAGAAGCTCATCAGGTAAAGTTGCTTGCTGCCAAGCCTGACCACCTGAATTCACTCCCTGGGATCCATATAGTAGGAGAGAACCAAGTCCTAAAAATTGTCCTCTGACTTCTACACCCAGCACTTACACACAAAATAAATAAATGTTAAAAAAGAAACCCAAAAGTATGTTGGGTTTGGAGGCAGAGAGGTAAAGGAAGATACCCAGTATGGACCAAAACAAATCACCCCTCTGTCCTCAACCTTTCTCACTTTCTCAGCCAACTCTGCCACATCAACTCTTTTTATATGGCATCTACCAACTGTCTATAACTCTAGTTCCTGGAGATCTAATCTCTTCTTCTGTCCTCTGCAGACACTGCAAACACAAGTATACTTACATACATGCAGTCAAAACACACATACATATAAAATAAAAATAATTTTAAATTTGTTTTGTTTTGTTGATTTTTTTTTGGTCTTTTTGAGACAGGGTCTCCCTCTAGCCCCAGCTGACCTGGAACTTGCTATGTAGACCAGGCTGGCCTCGAATTCAGAGAGATCTGCCTGCCTCTGCCTCCCGGGTGCTGGGATCAAAGGCTTGCACCACCACGCCCAGCTAAAAAAATTTGTTGAAAGGAAGCTCAGAAGCTAGGCAAGGTAGTGCATGCCTTTGATTCCAGCACCTGGGAGGCAGAGGCAGGCAGATCTTTGTGAGTTCAAGGCCAGCTTGGTCTACATAGCAAATTCCAGTCCAGCTGGAGCTACAAGGAAATCTTGTCTCAAAAGGACAAAAAAAAAAAAAAAATCAGTTATGGAATTTGATGAATACAGGAAATAAAGTAAGAATAGCAAAGTTTCTTATGTTATGTTATGAAAATTAGTAAGTGTCCAAAGTCCAAAGTACACCACAAAACAGCATACTGCTTTCAAAATATAGCATTACTTTTTGATTTTTTTTCTTATTATTTATTTATTTATTTTATTTTTGTGGGTTTTTAAACATTTATTTATTTTGTGTGTGGACATGGGGGTGTATGTGGAGGTGAGAGGACACTTTGTGAGTTGATTCCCTCATTCCATCATGTGGGTCCTAGAGATTGAACTCAGGTTGTGAGGCCTGGTGATAAGCACCTTTACCAGCCCGCACCAGCCCTCAAAGTACAGCCTTACTTTTTATTAAAATTCCATCAGTGGATTCCACACATATCTGGCCTTTGAGAAAAAAGCACAAGCAAATTTTCCTTTAAAAGAAACCTATAGGGACTAGAGAGCTCAGCAGTTAGGAGCACTGGTTGCTCTTGCAGAAGACCCAGGTTCAAAAATCCCAGCACCCACATGGTAGCTAACCACCATGTGGGTGCTGGGATTTTTGAACCTGGTAACTCCAGTTCCAGGGGATCCATCGCCCTCTTCTGTTCTCCTCTGGTACTGCAAAACAGGTGCACTTATATACATGAATCAGGTATAACACTCATACACATAAAATAAAATAATAAAATAAAATAACATAAAATAAATAAATAAAAATTATATATATAAGAAACCTACAGCTGGGAGTGGTAGAACTTGCCTTTAATCCCAGCACCTAGGAGGCAGAGGCCAGAAGATCTCTGTGCGATCAAGGCCAGCCTGGTCTACATGGCAAATTCTAGGCTACCTAGGGCTACAGAGAGACTCTGTCTCAAAAAATAAAAGAAACCTACACACCCAGCATGGTAGTGCCCACTTTTTAATTCCAGTACTCTCAAAGCAGAAGCAGGCGGATCTCAGTGCATTTGATGTCAGCCTGGTCTACACAGTCAAGTTCCAGGCCAGCAAGGACCTGTAATTCTATCTCAAAAAAAAAAAAAAAAAAAGAAAGAAATCTACATACATATTTTAAACAGCCTGCCTTTAAGATAAAAACACTTTATCAATTTTTAAAGATAGTTTTCACGAACTCCAGTTCTAGCCTATTTTAGCCCTTGTTTGTGCCAACTACTCAGGATACATCCCTTAGGCATGTGAGCCACTATTTTAGATGTCTTCTTGCTTTCAATGCTTATAGAGTATTTTGCTATTAACAGCTAACCAGATCCTGGTCAAATGTTTTTTTTTTCACTTTTGTTCTCTGGAAATGGGTAAGATGATAACAGGTAATTTAGCCTACTTTACAGTTGTAATTCCACAGGGATTTAGAAACAAAAGTCTGACAGAAAAAAATAGCAATAGATTTCTAGTAAGCAAAATGTCATAACCTCAACTGTTTTTGTTTTGGGTCTTTTTTTGGTCTTTTTGAGACAGGGTCTCCCTGTAGCCCCAGCTGTCCTGGAACTCACTATGCAGACCAGGATGGCCTTGAACTCACAGAGATCTGCCTGCCTCTGCCTCCCAAGTGCTGGGATTAAAGGCATGCACCACCATGCCTGGCCTGTTTTGTTTTTTTAAAAAAACAGTGTCTCCCTATAGCCCCAGCTAGCCTGGAACTTGCTGTGTAGACTAGGCTGGCCTTAAACTCACAAAAATCCATCTGCCTCTGCCTCCGGAGTACTGGAATTAAAAGCGTGTGCCACCATACCTGGCATAATCTCAATGCTTATAAAGGGTTAACAGAATCAGTAAACTGTCAAAGCCAATAACTTTACATGTCACTAGACCTGCACCAGATGGACACATTTACCTGAGGACAGCACAAAGCAGAGGTAAGTGATATAATACTTTGTTATTACCACTTACCAATGCTAACCAGAGTTTCAACAGGTACAGCCAGATGGGCTTTTTCTTATTATTTTTTATTTATTCAATTAAATTTTTTTTTTTTGGTCTTTTTGAGACAGGGTCTCCCTGTAGCCCCAGCTGACCTAGAACTCACTATGTAGACAAGGCTGGCCTTGAACTCACAGAGATCCGCCTGCCTCTGCCTCCCGTGTGCACCACCACACCCGGTTTTTTATTATTAATTATTTTATGCATGTATGTAAGGATATAGCTTCGTGATAGAGCATTTGCCTAATATGCATAAGATCCTGGGTTTGATCCTACAACATCACAAAGAATCCAAGGGGGAAAGGGATTGAGGCTTTTATTATAACCAACCTGAGCTAATACTGTGATGAAGTTGCGGTTTAAATGGACAGCTTCATAAAGTGCAAGAAGAATGGCTTCATTGGTTCTAAAGAAAAAGAGAACAAATTAGAATCGTTCTTAAAGAGAATTTAAAACACATAACCATCAAGATAAGATTTCTCCGGAGCTCCCCATTACCAACCTGAGTTGTTTTTTTTTTTATGTTCCCATCTTTTTACCCTTTGGACATATGCAAAAGCATACAGGTAAGAACTTAAATCCCTAGGACTCCTTCTTATGAACATGTTCACTCTCTTCTCACTTTCCCATTCCAACCCACTTAAACCTGTAACTGGCTCAGATTCCCACCCCCAGTCATTTCATTCCAGAGTTAAAATTGGGCCTGGTGACCTAGTACTCAGGAGGCAGAGGCAGAGGCAGGAGGACTGCCACAAGTGTGAAGCCAGTCATGGTCTATACAGAGAGTTCCAGTTCAGACAAGACTACATAGCCAGATCTTAAAAAAAATAAGGTAAGACCAGGTGTGGTGGCTCAAATCTTTAATCCCAGCACTCAGGAGGCAGAAGCAGGTGGATCTCTGAGTTTGAGGCCAACCAGAGCTAGATAGTGAGACCCTGTCTGAAAAATATAAAATAATAAAAAATAAATTAAAATAAATATCCAGAAGGCCGGGAGTGGTGGCGCACACCTTTAATCTCAGCGACTCGGGAGGCTGAAGCAGGCAGATCTCTGTGAGTTCAAGGCCAGCCTGGTCTACATAGTGAGTTCCAGGACAGCTGGGGCTACAGGGAGACCCTGTCTCAAAAAGACCCATAACAGGTGGGGTGAGAGAGTGGCATCTCAAAGAAAAGGTAAAAAGCTATCCAAGGAAACACTTAACTTCGATCTCTGGCCTCCACATAGAACACATGTACACACACACACATATACACACACAGTAATAATATATAAATAAATAAATAAACAAACAAACAAACAAATAAATAAATATCCAGAGATAGCTAGAGGTAATTCCTCAGTCTCTTGGGGCTCTATACACATCAAACAAGAAGAGATTTCTTTTTTCTTCTTAAAGACAGAGTCTCATGTAGTTCAGGCTAGCCTTGAACAAATTCACTATGTAGCTAAAGATGACCTTAAACTTCTGATCCTCTTGCCACCTCGAGAATACTAGGATTACAGGCATGTACCAACTATGCCTGGTTTATTCAAAACTAGCGATCAAACCCAGGGTTTCATGCATGCTAGACAAATACTCTATCAACCCCAGCCCCTAAAGCATAGATTTCTAAGATTCTATTGTTGCTTAAAATCCAAGAAACATTTGATGAACTATCAAAAAAAGTTTTAATCTGTAAAGGGTTAGCAAGAGGTTATATTTCCCACTCTCATATCCAACAAGAGAGCCTACTTCACTGCACAATGTCAGGCACTTACTGTACTGAGATTTTCTCATTGGCATCTGCTATGAACATGCTGCCCACCTGTGGAAGAAAAAAGGAATTGCAGACTTTATGCAGGAGGATATAAAAGGAACTCTCCGTGCCTAAGAAGGCTTCAATCAGTGAAAAACCAGATTGTGTCCAGCAATAGAGAACGTGGAACTCTGAGCCATCAGTTACACACAAAATCTAGCCACTTTGAGGGCTGTAGTTTCGTCCAGACCCTCTTCCAATGTGCAGGTTCAGTAACAATGCCAACAAGGAGATTCTGACCTACCTGTCCTCATCACCCTGCATCTTTTCTGGGTGCTGCTTATTGGCAATCTGAAACTAACTCAGAAAGAACTTCAAGCTGGACACGGTAGCTCATGACTTTAAGTCCCACACTCAAAAAAGTTCAAGGCCAGGCTGGGCTACAGAGTGAAAGCTTGTCTCAAAAATCAATAAAACAGCCAGGCATAGTGGTGCACACTTTTAATACTAGCACTTGGAAGGCAGACAGGGGTGGATCTCTGAGTTTGAGGCCAGCCTGGACTACATAGCAAGTTCTAGGTCAGCCAGTACTACATATTGACATCAAGTCTCAAAAATAAAATTAATTATTTTAAACTTCAGGGAAAAGTATGCTGATTTCAACCAACTAGTCAGTGAAGTCAAATAAGTAACTGGCATAAGCTGCTTTTAATATATTTGATTTCAGAAGCTACATGTGGTAGCACATGCCTGTAATCACAGCACTTGGGGGGGTAGAGGGAGGAAAATCAAGAGTTCAAGATCATCCTCAGCTACATAACAAGTTCAAGTTCACCCTGGGCTTCTTGAGACCCTGCCTTAAAAAAAAATTCCTGAGTAGGGAGGGCATGGTAGCACATGCTTTTAATCCCAGCACTGGGAGGCAGAGGCAGGAGGATTGAGGCCAGCCTGGTTTACATCTAGAGTTCTAGGCCAGATTTACATCTAGAGTTCTAGGCCAGATGGAGCTACAGAGAGACCTTGTCTAAAAAAAAAAAATTAAGATTCATGGGAACAGTATAATTTTATCTAATTCATATAATCAAATACCAAAATGAAACTCATACTTCAGTTGCCTCTGAGACACGTCTCTCATTTACGTGTCAGAGTTAAAGCAGTAAATTCAGAGTTAAAGCTATAAATTTATAAGGCTCATATCTGAGAGCAGGTTCTGTGAAGGTAAACGGTAAGAATGCATAGACCTAAGCAAGGGAAAAACTGCCTGGAGGGTAGGGGCAGTTGCTTCTTGCAATAAATTCAAGAAACTGTCTTCGCTCTAGTGCACGTAGACTCTAGTACCCCCAAAGATAGGTTCTGAATTTGCCTGCATCTTAGGACTTCCTAGGTTTATCTCTCCCACTCTTTTTTTTTTTTTAAAGACAAGAGTCTCATATAGCTGGGCTAGCCTTGAATTTTTATATAAATGAGGATGATCTTGAACTTCTGATTCTTCTGTCTCTGCCTCCCAGTTGCCAGGATTACAGGCATGAGTTTCACCCTAGATTTCTCTCTTAACTATTAATCCTGTGGGCTGGGCGTGGTGGTACATGCCTTTAACCCAGCACTTGGGAGGCAGAGGCAGGAAGATCTCTGTGAGTTGAAGGCCAGCCTGGTCTACATAGCAAGTTCCAGCTACAGGGAAGACCCTGTCTCAAAAAGACCAAAAAAAAAAAAGAGAGAGAGAGAGAAAGAGAGAGAGATTAATCCGATGGACTAGAGACATAGTTCAGTTAAGTGTCCTGGTGTAGCGTTCACAAAGCCCAGGTTTGATCCCAAGCACCACATAAATAGAGCATGATGTTGTATGCTTGATCCAGCTACTACAGGTCATGTGGCCACAGTAGAGCACAAAAGAGTACTTGGAGAGAACTCATATCTGTAATTGCCTATTCTATGCTCCACAGGGTCTGTCTCCAAATGGGGCCACTCCTTTCTGGAGATGGAGTCTTGCTATGTTGCTCAAGCTGGTCTTGAATATGCAGAATATATAGAGTCAAGGACTTTAAGAAACAAAAGTCTACATTAATTTGTGCCCTTCCCTCCCTTCCTTTTGACTAGATCTCTCTATGTAACAGGCTAGTTTTGAAACTCATGATTCTCCTGCTTCAGCTTCCCCAGTACTGGAATTACAGGCAGCCATGAAGTATAGTTATACTTTTCTTTATTAATTAGTCAGGAAAAAAATTAGTCCCAGAAAAATCAAAGTTCCTCTTTCTCCAATTTTGCCTAATTTTTAGAACTTGATTAAAAAAAAAAAAGAAAGATATGTTACTGTGTCACGCCATCTCCAATGGAGCCCGCGTGAGATCCTCCACGGGTTGAGGCTGAAACTTCAAGGAAGGTTGCCTCTTGGAACTGGCAGTGCAAAGAAGATCTTCAGTGTACTTGGCTGTATTTTGCTTGCTATTATCTTTATGACTGTCATTCTTTTATGGGTATCTAGGAACTCAGTTTCCTCAGATGACCTTGTCTCCTGATGCACCTTTACTGCTTAAAGCTATAATAGAAGCTGCTAGAAATAATCAGTCATGGAATATCATGGACAGAATAAAACAAGCAGAGCTAATGATGGAAGATCCTAAAGATGATATATTTCCTATAGGACAGACAAGTCAGAGAAAAGACCCTAATTCTGGTACTAGGAGAAAAGGAAAGTTACCACCAACTGTTATGACTAATTTTGGTCCGGCTTATGTTTTGGCAGGAGGTAGATTATGGCATCCACCGAGAGGGAAAGAAAGTATGTATAAAATTCCAGAACCTATGGATGAACCACTGCCTTTTACAGGAACATATGATAAGGAAGGGGGTAGATGGGTTAATATAGGAGGAAAAAGGATTTCTTGGCATTCATTACAATTCATGGACAGACTTGCCAGATCTAGGCCACCTTGGTGCCTGCTTAGTAAGGAACAAAAGGAGAGCATACAGAGACAATTGAAGAATGTGTTTATTTCTTAGGATTTCATGAGAACTACAGGATTAGAATGGGATACTGATACTGCTTGGGGTTTGGGACAGTATAATGAACAGGGAAAAACAAAAAGTGGATATAAAGCAACAGTATTGTGAATCACCTGGAATTCAAATAGAAATACTAATGATTATAGAGCTAATATTGAAAGCACATATTGGTTTGAGGTCATCTCACGGCGTAACCACAGAATATAAGAAAGCCTTTAATGTGAACTCACCAAGATGAAAAACAGGAGACTTTCTGTTTAACATTAGCTGATGCTTGTTAAGTTAATAGCATACTTTGGCAATGTATTTTGATCAACCTGTGTTTCACTTTTGTTTCTGAAATCAAAACTCTTAGAAAAGATTAACCGCAGAACAATGGCTTATGGATGTAATCATATAATTTTGTAATATATAATCTGAGCCCTGCAGCTGCAAAAATACACTCAGACCTTCACCAAACTTCTGTGTGTTGGTCTGTTTGTCATTCGCCGAATCCTTGTCCACCCTCTCGGGGATCCTGCTCCCGTCAGACTGAACTGCTCCGGTCTGGGCTGGTCCGTCGCATTACTGCTGGATGAGGAAGAGCTGATCTTCTTGAAGGGAGAGACTCTAGACAGGCTGACTAAACCCAGTGGATGAACTTGCACTGAGGGACATCTGGGAACATTTGCTTTACATAATAGGCCTTACCACAAATGACAGAACGTATAAACTCCAGTGGGGGGGCTACGGGAGGGTGTGAAAGGCAAAGGGAGTATAAAGATGATTTTCTGTATGAACTATACAAAAATTCAATTAAAAAAGAAATGGGGACAAATATGATCAAAATATATTGTATGAAGCCACATGTGGTGGGGAACACCTTTAATCCCATACTCAGGAGGCAGAGGCAGGTGGATCTCTGTGAGATTGAGGCCAGTACAGTCTATTCCAGGCCAGCTGGGGTTACAGGGAGACCCTGTCTCAAAAAGACCAATATATATTCTATGAAAGTCTTGATGAATTAATTAAAAATATTTTTTAAAGAAAAAAGCTGGGCGTGGTGGTGCATGCCTTTAATCACAGCACTAGGGAGGCAGAGGCAGGTGGATCTCTGTGAGTTGGAGGCCAGACTGGTCTACAACCAGTCTGGGGCTATAAGGAGACCTTGTCCCAAAAAGACCGAAAAAAAAAAGATGTGGTTCCAAGCAGAGTATGATGGCTTACAAGTATAACCTTAGCCCTTGAGAGATTAAGGCAGAAAAACTGTCAGGAATTCCAAATCAGCCTATACTACAGAATGAGATCCTGTCTTTAAAAAAAAAGGGTCAGCAACCTGGTCTACATAGTTGAGTTCCAGGACAGCTGGGGCTACAGGGAGACTCTGTCTCAAAAAGACCAAAAAAAAAAAGATCAGGCATGGGGGCGGGGAGGGGGGCTACAGGGAGACCCTGTCTCAAAAAGAAAAGAAAAAAAATCAAAGAAATACAGCTACAAATAAAATCTAATCTGCTCTGAGTAGTCCCTCTCTCCTCCTCACAGCATTACCTCAAAAGTATCTGGTTTTTGAGCCAGATTTACCACCCTGCAGACTCCTGTATTTCTCCGCAGGAAAAACAACCACAAGCAAGACTTACCATATTTGTTAAAGCAGAGAAAAAGCCACTCTGGTGTTCTTCTTCCTTGTCTTTGTACTGCCTAAACAAAAATACCTAAATTCAACCTCAGAATTTTTTTTATCAAGCATATCTTCAACCCTGACATTCTAGGTAATCAGGGCAGAGTACTCTTAGAATGTCTGACTCCAGAAAACTAGTTACTGCAGTCCCCCTGCAAGTTGAGAGGCACCCATCTGCTCTTGTAATGTATACAAAAATGCCTGGCTACTTTGGGAGAGACTTAGAAAGCAAGCTGCAAAAGTGTGAAACTCCTCTAGCATATGGCTGATCCAGTTATTTCCCAAACAGATGATTATTTGAAAACTGTGACAGTGAAATTACTTTAAGGCTATAACAGTGAAAACCTTGTTTGTTTTTGAAGAGGAGGAAGAGGAGGAAGAAGGAGGAAGAAAATTGAAGAGCTAAAACATTTGTGGAGATGGGACATACTTGAAGTTCTGAAATCCAATGGTACATGAGTAAACTGGAGAGAAGCAAGAAAGACCTTGGCTGGCCTTTAGCAGGATTACAGATATTCCTGGTTTCTGTTCATGAAGTACAAAATCCTTCCCCAACCACAGGAAGAAAAGTAAGCATCAACGAAGATGCCCCTGAGACTAAATAAGGACTGAGAAGTTGAAGCCAGTCACTAATAAGAACATTTGGTTTGCAGGTGTAGTTTAGTGGTCGTTTTTTCTTAGCATGCATAAGGTCCTTTGTTCAATCTCCAGGGCAGTGAGGGAGGAAACTGAAAGCGAAGGAGGGCACATATACACATCTGTCAAATGAGACCTAACTCATTATGCTTTCTCCTTTTTATTATTCTAAGAATAATTTTTTCGGGGGGGAGGTCTTTTTGAGACAGGGTCTCCCTGTAGCCCCAGCTGGTCTGGAACTCACTATGCAGACCAGGCTGGCTTTGAACTCACAGAGATCCACCTGCCTCTGCCTCCCAAGAGCTGGAATTAAAGGTGTGTGCCACCACACCCAGCTCTAAGAATAATTTTTAAAAAGTAGTGCTTCAGGTTGGGCATGGTGGCACACGCCTGTAATCCCAGCACTTGGGAGGTAGAGGCAGGTGGATCTCTGTGAGTTCAAAGCCTGCCTGGTCTGCATAGTGAGTTCGAGGACAGCTGGAGCTACAGGGAGACCCTGTCTCAAAAAGACTGGAAAAAAACAAAACAAAAAAAAAAAAGTGGTGCTTCAAGAGTTTGTTTTACACAGAAAATTATATTTACATGACACACTGGCTAAAAGGGAAAGCCTGCTTGTGGCTGTAAAGTTAGTTAAAATGCTCTATAACAAAATACCAAGGGCTGAAAATGAATGTGTTTAATTGCTTAAAGATGGACACTAACTTGACGGCTATTTCTCTCTGGTGTTAAAAAATAACTCCTGCTAATGCCATCAGCTAAACTAGAGCTAGTACATCTGCTATACCTCTGAGCACTCTTTTGAGATAAATGAATTTTTACCCAGGAATTCTAACAAACCTATTCCCTACTCAATCAGCTTAAATGAAAGTTAGACTTTTCCATTTTAGAGAGGTAAACTCACCTGTTGTACTCTGATAAAGCCTGAGCAATCACAAGCCCCATTCCCTGAAAGAGAAAATACAGCACAGCTGAAACATGCAAGCAGCCTCTAGGTGTTAAAGACAATGCTATAACTCAGCCAACGAGAACATCAAACTCCCATGTCTGTGCCCAAGAAGTTCTGCCTGAAAGTTGACAGGAGGACAGAAATTCTAAGATGCAGAATTTTTTTTCTATCACAATAGCAACAATATCCAATCATTTTACTTAATGTTCTCACATACGATTTATTTTACGTGTGTATATACATATATATATACATATACATATATATATTTCTTTCCTCTTTTTCTTTCCTTCCTTCCTTCCTTCCTTCCTTCCTTCTTTCTTTCTTTCTTTCTTTCTTCCTTTGTTTTTTGAGACAGGGTCTTCCTGTAGCCCACAGTTGGCCTGGAGCTCCCTATGTAGACCAGGCTAGACTCAATTTCTCTCTGCCTCCCAAGTGCTAAGACAAAAGGCATGCATCATCACGCTTAGCAACAAACCAGTCTAGGTTGCTGACAATTTCACTTCTGAAGAGAAGACTAAGGTAGACTATTCAAACAAAAAGTCCTCACACAGATCTAAAACAGGAACAACAAAAGTGACAGTGAGCCCTGTACTAAATGAAGAGGCATATAGATAAACTACTCTCTTGGGCCACAAGAAAACAGGAAGGGGACTGGTGTGATGGCTCAGTGGGTAAAGGTGCTTGCTATCAAGCCTGATTACTTGAGTTCCATCCCTGGGTCCAGCCCACACGGTGGAAGGAGAGAACCAACTCCTTCAAGTTGTCCTTTGATCACCGCACTACATGAATTAGCTAATTAATTAAACTTACTGTAACTCCAGCTCCCAGGAATCCAACAGCTCTGTTTCAACATGCGCACTGGCAGGCACATGCACATACTCACATACAGACACACATGTACACATAATTTAAAATAAAATATATCTTTTAAAAAAGAAAACAGGAAGAAGCATCCAATAAATATTAAAATAACCAGTCTGCTTTCTTCTAAAAATTGCAAGGTATAATATTAAAGATCAACTAAAGTCACAAAGATGAATCATGTGCACATTTTTCATAAAGGAAATTAGAAGAAATAAAAAGAACAGGAGAGAAAGAAAATAAAGCCAAACACCTTGGTCTTTCACCCCATATTCGGAAAGCACATGGGATTTTTGCAAATTTTCAAGGAGACACACAGGAGATGTATATCATCCTTCCCATTTCAGGTTCATAAAGTCAGGCTATGAACAGCACCAAGCTAGTTCTATAAGAAGGAATCTCCAATTGTTTGGTTATCTAGGCTTTCTTTCTCTTTGAAGTATAATTTATAGACTCAGATAATCTCAGCACATTATAATTATGCATATAATCACTTCCTCATAATCAGAAACAAATATCCTCTCCAATCTTCCTTTTCTGACAGTGAAAGAGAAGAAACTAAAACAATGATTCTCTAAAAAGAAGTAATACAAATTTCCAGTAAGTGAGATGGCATACAGTGGTAATCTCAGTATTCAGGAGATAAGGCAGGAAGACCAGCAATTCAAGGCAAGCCTGGGCTACATAGTGAAACTCTGCCTCAAAAAAACAAAAACCAACAAAAAAGAACTACCAATCCCTCACAATAGCCAAATAAAATAAAGCATTCTGTTCTGGTTATTTTTTATTTGTTTTTGCAGCACTGGGGATTAAATCCAGAACCAATGAGTTACAGTCACAGCCCTTTTTATTTATTTTGAGGTAAGGCCACACTAACTTGCACAGGATGGCCTTAACCTGCAGTTTAGCTTTCCTTCCACAGCCTCCATTATAGGTAGCACTGACCCCACTTCTCTGTTCTTAATGCCCTCTGAAAATACGGCCACTGCATGCAAGTAAGACAATACCCCAGAATTCAGAATCCAGGTACTCACATTGAGTGTAGCTTCATCATCCACAATAGACAGCTTCACAATATAAGGATTCACAGACTATTAAACAAGAGAAGAGAGTCAAGGTAAGCATGACCAAGTTAAGAAAGCCTGTTAGTTAATTAAGAAGGTAATAACAAAAATGCTTCTGTAAGCCCTCTTTCCACAGTGATGCTCCCAATACCCAACCCCAAAGCATCTTGCCTGCTGACAGTCCCCATTTCCAATGAATATCTCAGTTCACAAGGGCATTTGTCATGTGTATACACAAACACACACACACCACACCCCCACACCAGTACTATTCTACTTGCATTTTCCTCCAGGTTGAATTAGCTCATTTATGTCTACCTACCTCTCCAATTTTTCCCTTCTTATTGGCTCTAAAAAGTGAACACTCGCCAACTCAATTTGTCCTGTCCCACTGAATCCATAGGGATAGCTTTCTTTTGGGAGACATAAAAGCTTCTTTCCCTTAGGACACATACTTGTAAGTTGCTAGCTTATACTCTCATCCCAAAGGCTCCCTAACCATTTCAGAACTACATGCATGGACTGTTTCACCCACCCGTAAAACAAAGCCACCTTGGGGGTAGAAAGTGGCAGCTGCTTAACAGCCAGAGAGGCCATTTATGGAGATCTGATACCCAAATAACACTGCAGGGGGCACTGAAAAAAAGGATGTTATTACCCAAGCAACAATCTGGTCAGGACACCAGAATTTAATGATTGTCCCATCACTTACAGCACTGGAAGATTACTTGGCTGTTTTCAGACCCAATCTCAGCTAGGCAACATATGGAAATGGATATATATTTAAACTCATTAAAATTGGACTATCTCTTCAAAGTGGGATGAAAACCAATGACCTGCTCACCTTGAAACATCCCACCCACAGGATGTAAAGAAAGTGCTCATACAGATCAAGCACCAATTCTAACTCACGGGAGACAAGTAACAATAGTTCTTAGACTGGCAGTTTTTACAGCTACCAAGAAAACTCATTACTAAGAAACTTGAAACCCCAACTGAAAGGCTAACCCCCCATATAGACCTTATTTAATCAAGTTTCTCAGCACATTCTTCACATTTCTGTTAGAAACAGGAAAAGTGAAGCTTTTTCTTTCTTTTTTAAACCAACTTTTTTTTTTTTTTTTTTTTTTTTTTTTTTTTGTCTTTTTTGAGACAGGGTCTCCCTGTAGCCCCAGCTGGCCTGGAACTCACTTTGTAGATCAGGCTGGCCTTGAATTCACAGAGATCCGCCTCTGACTCCCAAGTGCTGGAACTAAAGGCCTGTACTACCACACCTGGCTTAAACCTTTCCTTTCTTTCTTTTTTTTAACTTTTTTTAAAATTTATTATTTTTATTTTATGTGTATGAGTGTATTGTCTGCACGTAGGTAAGTGCATTTGTGTTGTGCAATGCCCACAGAGGTCAAAAGAGGCTGTCAGATCCCCTGGGACTGGAGTTACGGACAGCTGTTAGTTGTCATGTGGGAGCTGGGATTCAAACCTGGGTCTTCTGCAAGAACAACCAGAGCCATCTCTCCAGCCCCAAACCTTTGCTTTCTTAACAGCCAAAATATTTGTCAAGTTTTACATAACACAATTCAAGGAAGCAAAATTCACTCCACTTGTTACTTGATCTGACAGAGGGACGACTCTCAGCATGTGTTCTTATAACCAACAGTCAAATAAATCTTGCTAATGCTACGGATTCTCTCAGACAAGATCCAATGCAGATGGATCAATGAAAAGAAAACTGGCAGTAGGCTGACCTAGCAACGTTAGAGAGCAAAGGACAGTTTCTTGACAGGTTTTTTTGCAAGTAATGGTCACTCACCTTCCTAAAAGAAGACTATTCTAGGTAGTAATAAGGATCTTCAGATTACCAAGACCGGGGTATTTTAGTAGCAGTTGAGGAAAAGGCAAGTTGGCCAAGAACAAGGTTTGAGTCCTAATTCCCCTTACTAATTATGACAAATTACAGAAATTAACTAATCTAATCTTCAGTTTTGTCATCTGTAAACTAGGGACATTTTTCAAAAATTTGGTGTTTTTGTAAGGCTTAAATTAAGACATGTAAAATCTTTAGCATAATATCTGGCATATTGGTAGCTATATTATTTTGCTCTTTGACATTATTACCATATTCAAAAGAAGTTTATTTATTTATTTAGTGTGTGTGTGTGTGTGTGTGTGTGTGTGTGTGTGTACATGCATGTGGAGGCCAGAGTTCCAGCTTTGGTGTTATTCCCTCAGGAGCTGTCCATTTATTTTTAGAGACAGACTCTCTGGGACCTGGGACTTGCCAATTAGGCTAGGCTAGCTGGCCAGCAAGTACCAAGGATCCTTCTGTCTCTGCCTCTACACACTGGGATTACAAGCCTATGACACATTCCCAATTTTTTACATGGGTGCTGGGAAACAAACTTAGGTCTCTCATGTTTGCGTATAAGGGCTTTACCAACTGAGCCATCTCACCAACCCAGGAAAGCTCTTTAGGAAATTTCTTGAGGAAAGGGAAGAAAAAAAGAAGAGAGACAGAGAGAGAACAACCTGTAAGTATAACAGATATACTTTTAAATGTTTTTTTAATTTTGTAAAATTAATTTAATGTTATATGTAGGAGTGCTTTTTTGCCTGCATGTATGTAAGTACCATATGCATGCACTGTCCATGGAGGCTAGAAGAAGGTGTCAGATCCCCTGGAACTGGAATTACGAACAGTTTTTAGCTGTCATGTGAGTGCTGGGAACCAAACCCAGGTCCTCTGCAAGAATAAGCAGTGCTCTTAACCATCTCTCCAGCACCAGTTTAAAATGTTTTAATTTAGGGAAAGAGCAGGCTCAGGAAAGTAAACAGGTTTCAGTCACTATATCTCAGGAGACTTGGCCAGCCTAGAACCCAGGATCTCAGTGCTTTGAAAATTCTTTTCCACTAGACACTGATTACCCGTTACTCTGGTCACTTTTGGAAACTGGAGGCAATCTACTTCTCATCCACATGATAGAATACAAACTCAGCAAGTACTCTACCACTGAACTGTCCTTCCAGCTCCTTCTCTTGAAGATATACTTTTATTTTGAAGTCCCATCTTTATTTGCTCTAGATTTTACCTTTATTTGTCATTTTTCATTGTTCATTCCTAGATGTTTAGGAAGAACCACACAATTACTACATGATGCCCTTTCCATGTTTCTTAGATCCAGCACCTTATTTGCCTTCTCTACTTCAAGCTCAGTAATTGGTCTGATACTTTTACACCTTTCTAGAAAGTGTTATAACTTGCCTTATTGGTCACAGGACTGACTGTTGTAGTAGTTAAAACACTCTTCCCCCCAAGCATACCCTCTCCTACTACTTTGCATAAAATTTGACCAGCTTTTAACTTTGTCATGTTTATCTGGAATTCCTCATGCTCCTGTCAAAACCTTTCCTGTTCCACTGTGACAGGGTGTCTTTAATGGTATCTGGTAAGTGACTTATATCCAAAGCTGCAAAGTTCAGAGAAATTATGCCCACATGCTCACCCTTGCCTGCTATATTAATTCTTCTGAGGGCTTCTGACAGGACAAAGATACATACTTCACTCCAGAAATATAATTTTCTTGAGCTACTGGCCACGTCCCATTTTTCAGGCTGACATTCAGAGAGCTCTACTGAGCTAAGCAAAGCTTCAATTCACATTTAGAGAAGCCAAGCCATTGCCTCAGAATGGCCTGCATCCACCAGAACGTTGTGAAAATACTCATTACTGACGATTGTACATTCCTGTCCATATAACTCAACTTCTTTAACTATCCTCAGCACTTTTTCTTAGCTATTTTTCTTGCTGTAGTAATAAGAGCCCAGAGGCTTTTACACATGACAGATCATAATGGCTACCATGCCAGCCCCTCCAAATTACCAGTGAAACAGGTGTTAGTGATATTATATATTAGTAGCTCCACCACCATTCATCAGTTCCTCCAAGACAATGAAAGTGATCATCTTTTGGGATTTAGAACATATTACCATTGTTCCACACACTCCAGTCGTTCCTAAGCATTTCTTTCTCAGTCTCTCCTTAGGTATCTCTTTATAATAATAAGCTTACCCATATTCTCTATCTGTCCAAATAAAGTTTCACAGCAAGTATTAGGACAGCCAGATCTATAAAACAAGATCCTACCTCAAAAAAGGAAAAAAAATTCACTAAAAGCCAAACACTCAAAAACCCTGTCTCCAGATGGCACATTTCTCATTTGACCTTGTCCAAAAGGTCAAGAAGCAATTTAACACAATCTCATAGCCCTGGTACTTACTAGTGAAGAAAGGTTTCCCTGGTACAGCACCTGACTTCTGGGTTCAGAAAATTTCTCCTAGTGTCTAGAACTCAGTATCAGCTGTTTCCCATTCCTTCAGAGCAATCCAGTGAGGATCCTGGTCTTCCCTGTGCAATGGCCTTCCTTTCCTGTATTCTACCTTTTGAGACGAATAAGACATATACACCAATCTCTGGGTTCTGCTCTTCCTTTTTAAAAAAAAAAAAAAAAACAGCCTAGCTGGGAATGATGTCACACACTTATAATTCTATAATCCTGACACTTGGAAGACTATGGATCACTATGAATTTGAGGCCAACCTGGGCTATAGAGTGAAATCTTGTCTCGAAGGGAGGAAGGAAGGGAGAGGGGAGGGGGAAGGGAAGAAGAGTAGAACAGAGGGAGAGAGAGGAAAGAAAGGAAGATGGAGAGGGGAGGGGAAGCGGAGGGGAAGAAGGGGAAGGGGAAGGGGAAGGAGGGGAAAGGGAAGGGAAGGGAAGGGAAGGGAAGGGAGGGAAAGGAAGGGAAAGGAAGGGAAAGGAAGGGAAAGGAAAAAAGAAAAAAGAAAGTTGCCGGGCATGGTGCGGCACACCTTTAATCCCAGTGCTTGGGAGGCAAAGGCAGGTGGATCTCTGGGAGTTCAAGGCCAGTCTGATCTACATGGGGCTACAGGGAGACCCTGTCTCAAAAAGACCAAAAAAAAAGAAAAAGAAAAAAAAGTCAGCCAGGAAAGCAGAGTGATTATGGAAGCAGGAAAACCAGAAGTTCAAAGCCAGCCTGAGCTGCTTGAGATCCTGTCTCCAAAATAAAATAGCCAGATGTGGTGATATATACCTGTGATTCAAACACTCTATAAGCCTTGAGGCAGGAGAACTGCCAAAAGTTAGAGCAACAAGGAGAGGAATAACCTCCAAAACTGATACAGGTAAGAGAGAATTTTCAACTAAAATCTTCATTAAAGGGTACTGGAGAGATGGCTCAGTAGTTAAGAGCACTGACTGCTCTTCCAGAGGACCTGGATTCATTTTCCATCACCGACATGCAGCTAACAGCCCTCAGTAACTCCAGATCTGGGGTTCCAATGCCCTCTTCTGGCCTCTGTGGGTATTGCATTACATGGGTGCATTTATATACATGCAGACAAAACACACATACATGTAAAATAAATCCATCAATTAAAAAAAATTAAATCTTCATTAAAATCAGAAAGTGTTCTCAGACCAACAGTGATACTTATAGTAGACTACTTCAAGGAAATCAAGTATATAAAAATCCAGTCTTGCCAGGAATAGTGACTTAGGCCTCAATCACTGGAGAGGCAAAGGCAGGAGGATTGCCCATATCTAACCTGTTCTACATAGTGAAGTCTAAGCAAGCCAGAGTTACATAGCAAAATACTATTTAAAAAAAAAATCTCTTTGCCAGGCGTGGTGGCACACGCCTTTAATCCCAGCACTTGGGAGGCAGAGGCAGGTGAATCTCTGTTAGTTCAAGGCCAGCCTGGTCTACATAGTGAGTTCCAGGACAGCTGGGACTACAGGGAGACCCTGTCTCAAAAAGACT